ATTTAGAAGATAAGCTAATGAAGAGGTTCGGACACCGTTTTAATACCTATAGAACACGTCAGAAACCGAAAACGATAAAAACGTCTATAAAACGTCAAGTTTTGACATATATTTGCTGTATAAAATGTAGAAACCGCAAAACGTCATTTAGCAATGTTAAGGACGTAATATCAGACTCTCAAATTGCAAAACGGGTGGGTTTTCGAAAGAGGTGCTTCTGAATTTTTCTATTGCGGTAATGCAGCAAAATCATGGTCTAACGTAGATTTGTTGAATCATGTAAATAATTGATGCAACCGTATCTATCGCTTTAATATTGTTAATATTCAATACAACTGAATATATTACTTGAAAAATGTAAATAATTGATGCAACTAAATGTTTCGATTCAATGATGTAAATATTTAATACAAATGATTGTTTCGCTTCAATGATGTAAATAATTGATACAAATGAATGTTTGGCTTCAATAATGTAAATATTTGATGCAACTAAATGTTTCGCGTCAATGATAAATATTTGATACAAATGAATGTTTCGTTTTAATAATGTAAATATTTGATACAAATGAATGTTTCGTTTTAATAATGTAAATATTTGATACAAATGAATGTTTCACTTCAATGATGTAAATGTTTGATACAAATGAATGTTTCGCTTCAATGATGTAAATATTTGATACAACTAAATGTTTCGCTTAAATGATGTAAATATTTGATACAAATGAATGTTTCGCTTCAGTGATGTAAATATTTGATGCAACTAAATGTTTCGCTTCAATGATGTAAGTATTTGATACAAATGAATGTTTCCTTTCAATGGTGTAAATATTTGATAGAAAGGAATGTTTCGCTTCAATGATGTAAATATTTGATACAAATGACTGTTTCGCTTCAATGATGTAAATAATTGATGCTACTTAATGTTTCGCTTCAATGATGTAAATAATTGATGCAACTTAATGTTTCGCTTCAATGATGTAAATATTTGATATAACTAAATGTTTTGCTTTAATGATGTAACAAATAGTTCAAATGAATGTTTCGCTTCAATGATGTAAGTATTTGATACAAATGCCTGTTTCTCGTCAATGATGTAAATAATTGATACAACTGAATGTATCGCTTCAATGATGTAAATATTTGATACAAATGAATGTTTTCTTTCAATGGTGTAAATATTTGATAGAAAGGAATGTTTCGCTTTAATGATGTAAATATTTGATACAAATGAATGTTTCGCTTCAATGATGTAAATATTTGATATAACTAAATGTTTTGCTTTAATGATGTAATAAATAGTTCAAATGAATGTTTCGCTTCAATGATGTAAGTATTTGATACAAATGCCTGTTTTGCGTCAATGATGTAAATAATTGATACAACTGAATGTATCGCTTCAATGATGTAAATATTTGATACAAATGAATGTTTTCTTTCAATGGTGTAAATATTTGATAGAAAGGAATGTTTCGCTTCAATGATGTAAATATTTGATACAAATGAATGTTTCGCTTCAATGATGTAAATAATTGATGCCACTTAATGTTTCGCTTCAATGATGTAAATAATTGATGCAACTTAATGTTTCGCTTCAATGATGTAAATATTTGATATAACTAAATGTTTTGCTTTAATGATGTAATAAATAGTTCAAATGAATGTTTCGCTTCAATGACGTAAGTATTTGATACAAATGCCTGTTTCGCGTCAATGATGTAAATAATTGATACAACTGAATGTTTCGTTTCAATGATGTAAATATTTGATACAAATGAATGTTTCCTTTCAATGGTGTAAATATTTGATAGAAAGGAATGTTTCGCTTCAATGATGTAAATATTTGATACAAATGCCTGTTTCGTTTCAATGATGTAATTAATTGATACAAATGAATGTTTCGCTTCAATGATGTAAATATTTAATGCAACTAAATGTATCGCTTCAATGATGTAAATATTTGATACAAATAAATGTTTCGCTTCAATGATGTAATTAATTGATTCAAATGAATGTTTCGCTTCAATCATGTAAATATTTCATATAACTAAATGTTTTGCTTTAATGATGTAATAAATAGTTCAAATGAATGTTTCGCTTCAATGATGTAAATATTTTATACAACTGAATGTTTCGCTTCAATGGTGTAAATATTTGATACAACTAAATGTTTTGCTTCAATGATGTAAATATTTAATGCAACTAAATGTATCGCTTCAATGATGTAAATATTTGATACAAATGCCTGTTTCGCTTCAATGATGTAAATAATTGATACAACTGAATGTTTCGCTTCAATGGTGTAAATATTTGATAGAAAGAGATGTTTCGCTTCAATGATGTAAATATTGGATACAAATGAATGTCTCGTTTCAATGATGTAAATATTTGATACAAATGAATGTTTCCTCTCAATGGTGTAAATATTTGATAGAAAGGAATGTTTCGCTTCAATGATGTAAATATTTGATACAAATGAATGTTTCGTTTCAATGATGTAATTAATTGATAGAAAGGAATGTTTCGCTTCAATGATGTAAATATTTAATGAAACTAAATGTATCGCTTCAATGATGTAAATATTTGATACAAATAAATGTTTCGCTTCAATGATGTAATTAATTGATTCAAATGAATGTTTCGCTTCAATGATGTAAATATTTCATATAACTAAATGTTTTGCTTTAATGATGTAATAAATAGTTCAAATGAATGTTTCGCTTCAATGATGTAAATATTTGATACAAATGAATGTTTCGCTTCAATGATGTAAATATTTGATACAACTAAATGTTTTGCTTCAATGATGTAAATATTTAATGCAACTAAATGTATCGCTTCAATGATGTAAATATTTGATACAAATGCCTGTTTCGCTTCAATGATGTAAATAATTGATACAACTGAATGTTTCGCTTCAATGGTGTAAATATTTGATAGAAAGAGATGTTTCGCTTCAATGATGTAAATATTGGATGCAAATGAATGTTTCGTTTCAATGATGTAAATATTGGATACAACTAAATGTTTTGCTTTAATGATGTAATAAATAGTTGAAATGAATGTTTCACTTCAATGATGTAAGTATTTGATACAAATGCCTGTTTCGCTTCAATGATGTAAATAATTGATGCAACTGAATGCTTCGCTTCAATGATGTAAATATTTGATACAAATGAATGTTTCGTTTCAATGGTGTAAATATTTGATAGAAAGGAATGTTTCGCTTCAATGATGTAAATATTGGATACAAATGAATGTTTCGTTTCAATGATGTAAATATTTGATAGAAAGGAATGTTTCGCTTCAATGATGTAAATATTTGATAGAAAGAAATGTTTCGATTCAATGATGTAAATATTGGATACAGATGAATGTTTCGTTTCACTGGTTTGGGGTGTGAACTGTCTGCAGAACGTTCAAGAAACCGAAGATAAATGACATGATGATGGTGAAATATGTTATTTAAAGAAGTTTTCTTAGAATAGTAGAAACGGCAGCATTGTCGTCGAAGGTGACATGAGGTTAAATGGGGTTTAACGTCGCGTTTTAGATTTTGGCACTTACGCAGCGATGTGTATGTGTCACACCCAATCGGGCCGTCGGATAGCCTTGTGGTTAAAGCGTTCGCTCGTCACGCCGAACACTCGGGTTCGATTCCCGACATGTATGAAGCCCATTTCTGGTGTCCCCCGCCGTGATATTGCTGGAATATTGCTAAAAGCAGCGTAAAACAATACTAACTCACCCACACCCAATCTGTGCTACTGCCCTTTGCGTTCATTGGGCAGACCGATTGCTCAATGCACGCAATGTGAAAACAATTACCTGCTCATTGCATGCACTGGGCAGCAATTGTGAATGAAAAATAATTCTCCAGATAGTTTTAAAATAACTCGGTGAATAGATCCTTATAAATTAAATTTGTCCTTTCAACCTCTGTGAATAAGATTTTAAAACTCATACACGACACAGTCCATTGCATACCGAATTGACAGGTGCACAGATTCGGTGTAACACATGCACGTGTGTGTGTGCGTGCGTGCGTGCGTGCGTGCGTGCGTGCGTGCGTGTGTGTGTGTGTGCGTGCGTGCGTGTGTGTGTGTGTCTGCGTGCGTGCGTGTGCGTGTGCGTGTGCGTGTGTGTGTCTGCTTGTACTAGCCCGGACTTATGCTGAGTTTATAGTGCTAGCCCACTGACTCCGAGCCGACCAGTCCTTGTTGAGCACGTAATGCCGAGCTAAATAATCGAATCTGGACCAAACAATCCAGTGACAGATATCATGAGCGTCGATCTAAGCAAATGAGATACGATGACATGTAACAGCCAAGTCAGCAAGCCCGACCACCCGATTCCTTAGTCGCCTCTTACGACAAGCATGGGGTTGCTGGGGACCTACTTTAACCCTGGTATTCAAGGAATATTTGGGGGCGGTCGAGTAGCCTAGTGGTTAAAGCGTTGGCTCGTCACGCCGAAGACCCGGGTTCGATTCCCGACTTGGGTACAATGGTTGAAGCCCATTTCTGGTGTCCCCCGCCGTGATCTTGCTGGAATATTGCTAAAAGCGGCGTAAAACCATACTCATTCATTCATTCAAGGAATATTAAAAGATATAATGCCATTAAACACACTTCTAAGAAATGCATTAATTATTTCATATTATGAATAAATAAAATATGTCTGTGCAATACACATTTATATGTCTGTTTTTTGTTTGTTGTTTAACGCCGCACTCAGTAATATTTCAGCTATATACGGCGGTCTGTAAATAATCGAGTCTGGACCTGACAATCCATGAGCATCGATCCACGCAATTGGGATACGATGACATGTATCAACCAAGTCAGCGAGCCTGACCATCCGCTCCGTACCATTAGTCGCCTTTTACGGCAAGCATGGGTTGCTGAAGACCTATTCTACCCAGGATCTTCACGGGTCACATTTACATATGGAACTGTTTGTACGTATACTGTAAAAATCACTTTGTTTCAAACTACTCACATGCAACAGCTGAGATGAACAGGACAATTAGTGTTTGCATAATCTGCAAAATAACGTATAAGTTTCTTGAACATACGATACACAAATGAAAATATTTAAGAATTAAACTACGCTTCATATGTGTCCACAGACCTTAACTCTACAGGTTCATTCCCGTGTGAACCCACACAAAGGGACGGTCGATTCTTACATGTATCTAATAGCAACACAGGTAACATTATACAAATTTGCAATAAATAAACAGAACACTCTTTTTTAAACATTTTAAACTGAAAGTTTTATACACTGCACAGTTTCATAAACTTCATTTCCCCCCGAATTAAAAAACACACAACGTCAACGCCAGAGAACACTCAGCCCCGACCACCCGACGACATACACCCCAGCGGGCTCAGAGTGAGAGAGTGAGTGTGTTGGGTTTAACGCCGCTTTTAACAGTATTCCAGTTATATCACGGCGTGTCAGCTTGATGTGGGAGGAAAGCCCGAAGTGATGCAGGTCTCAGACGTTTACCACTTCGGTGAAACCCACGAGCACGGGTATGGTGCTGACAAACCTAGAAACATAATCGGGGCGAGCCGGGATTCGAACCCACAATCATAGGTTTCTGGCGTGCCCAAGGGACGCAACTCTGCACAGCGAATCGCGGCGCCTTAGACGACTGTGCCACCTGTGCCCCCTCAGCGGGCTCAGAAGGCAAACCAGCAGGGGGAGACAACTGCAATGATGAAATGAATATATTTCTCACTGACACAACACATCTGGAATATGTCAGATGCATAAATAATAAATAGATGATAATTCATGTTTGTGTTCGATTGGGTTGAGATCTGGTGATCTCGAAGGCCAGGGCAAGACATTGATGTTGACATTATGGAGGTAGTCTACCGTGACACGAGTAATGTGCGGTGGGGCATTGTACTGTTGAAACAGCTCCCTCTGGCGGTCAATGATTGGAATAAGGTGAGGATGAAGAATTTGATTCTTGTAGCGATTTGCTGTCAAATTTCCTTGAACCACAACCAAGTCAGATCTCATAATGTACGATATGAACCCCACACCATGACACTACCGCCACCGACATTGTCGAATTCACGTACACAATGTGGGGCAATACGCTCATTTCAACGAGATAAACACGTTGCCTTCCATTTCGCCGGTGAAGAAGAAATCGTGATTCATCGATAAACCACACTCGTCTCAAATTCCTCAAATTCCAAGTCAAGCGTCGCTGTCGATGATCTGTTGCACAACAGTGACGATAACTGAAGATGGGTCCTGACAGTCTTGGCCGATATCCTCCTCAAACCAGAGATGCGTCCTGCAGTCTTCGTAGCTGTTGCATTGCGATGACGTAGGTGGAACAGTCGAATGTCGCAATCCTGTGCAGGGGTGGTTACTCTTGGTCGGACGGTTCTCGGACGATCTGCAGTGGAATTAATCGGTTTATCGATCTCAAAGGCGGCAAATGGTGCTGTGGTGGACGCTGAAGTGGTGTGCAACAGAAGACCGCGATTCCTCTCTTTGGATACGTCCTATGGCAATGTTCCGATAGGCAGCGCGGAATCGCGGCATTTCCGAACTTGAAAAATGTTGACAATTGAATGACAAATCATCGGCTTTTGCTTGCCTTTTTGTAGCCACTGCCACAAGTTACGAATGCCATAACCTGCACGTGCATTTTGCTTTAGTGTTTTCCTCCATGACATTTTTTAACAAGTGTGAAAACAATGCCTGTTTAAGACATTGCCAATCGACAATAGCTGCGTGTTGACGCACCGTTTGTCGAATATCAGGCCACCAACATTTTCCAATAACACATATTCAATTTATACACCGGATTTTTTTGTGTGGTCAGGTTCAATGAACTACATATTACCCGTACGTTTCCTTTTTGAACAGCCTACGTATGGAGACAAGTCTCAGAAAGTTTGGAAGCATTTAAGTTCAGAGGGGTAAGGATTTGAAGACATGGACACACAAAAAAACTCACACAGACAATCTTGAATCCAAAATGGCGGTCAAACCTCGTGACCGATGGCCAAAGTCAATGAACAAAAAAGTTCAAGCATCTAAAGCAGCAGACACAAAACAGGACAAGCTGTTGAGGAGCAATAGGGCAAAACATGTCTTCAATAATTACTTGTTCTTTAGTTATCTGCTCTTGGTCAATGGGCCATGTGAAGTGATGCAGATCTCAGACGTTTACCACTTTGGTGTAACCCACGAGCACAGGTATGTTGTTGATAAACCTAGAAGCATAATCAGGGGGAGCTGGGATTCGATCTGGCGCGCCCATGGAACGCAACTCTTCACAGCGAAGAGACGCCTAGGGTACGAGTGCCCCCAGTCTGATAAGGATACTGCTTTTCGCTTACTCACCAGCACAAGCGCCCGAGATGTCAACTTTACTACATACATTGTCAACTCTTATTTACAGGGCATTCCTTTTCTTTCCAAAAGTTCTCAATCGTATTTCTGTGCAGCTAATATGAAAGAAAGAGAACACATTACATACACAACGTCGGTTACGAATTTCACAAGGAGTCCATTAATCTTGGGATATATGGATTTAGTGTTTATTGTCAAAGGAAACGTACAAACATATGGTTTAAATATGTCTTTATTTCGTCTTGAAATTGGGATTGGTAAAACAAGGCGATTTTTTTTTAATTCCTCTTCTGTATAAAAATCAAGTAACAAGAGATAGTCAAGGTGTATATAATTACACATGTTCCTTGGAGATCAGTTATGAAGTACAACAGTGTCGAGTTTGATGGTCAGAATGATGCAATTATACGTAGCGATTATACATAATATTAGTTACTACAAAAGGTGCATAAGATTCCGGTATATATAATATGTGAGTATTATATGTAAAGTACTGTAATAAAATCATATTCTTTTGTGTAATGTAGTAAATTGCTTTTAATTTGATCATAGTTGCAAAAAAGAAGAAGTGTTGCGGGGATACAAGGACAAACTGGGCTGTCAGTTATCAATCTGTCGAATTAATATCCGTTTAAAGTCATTACATCCAAGTTTCAGGCGGCAGTGGATAATTTAACAGAATCTGGTTCCCAAATTTGTATTACAATTTTTTTTTTGATTGTAAGTGCATGATAATCCATTTCGAAATATGAGCCAGTAAATTATTTTTTTTCAGATAGGTTATTCAATAATAGAGTTTCTAAGGCTGTAAACACTGTGAACGTTAACTGGGTCAGGCATAAGGTTGCAGAAACAAGCTGGTGCTAAATTATTTACCATTTGTAGGATAAAAATTGATTCTTGCGCCTTAGCGATAATGATTTTTGATTTGTTAAGGTAAACATTTTTTCTGTGGCTTGTGTCCCGTGTTGGACCACATAGTTGGTTCTTGGAGCATCTTGGTTAAATCTTTCAATTATCACTTCTTGATCTTGAGAAAAATTAATCCAAAGTATACGACAAAAATCGAATATTGGTAAGATGAATTATTTGTACATCAGTTCAAGACTTTTCCTGGAGGGGGTATTTTTAAACGCTTAAAACAGTTTATCAGCCTTTAAATACAGTAGTATCAACATGAAAATGCCGGTGGCTATCACGCTGGAGAACTACGCCTAAATGTTTATGTATTTCAACTTCTTTCATAATGATTCCATCTATTTCGAGATTTAGTCTTGTTATTGGTACAGTTTAACGGAAGAATGAGATACTTTCAGTTTTCTCGGGGTTAAACTTCACTTCCACATTTTCGCCAAGTATGAGATTGCAATCAGGTCATTGTTTAATGCTGAAGCTGCGGTGTCTGGGTTTTCACAAAGATGTAGAAAGACGTATCGTCAGCAACAAGTTTTATATTACTATTTACAGGATCAACTTAATCATTGATGTAAATCAAGGACAGCAGCGGGCCAAGTGCAGACCCTTTCGATACTCAAGCCAGTACAAAGTTAAATTTTGATTTATATCCTTTAATAATCTTTGTTTCTTTGTCAATTACAAAACCTTCAGACCATTTTAATAATGTTCCTATAATACCATATGTATCTAGCTTCTTTACCATTCCACGGTACCAGACCTTATCAAAACCTTTACTTCGATCACAACAAACTGCCCTAACCTCCTTTCCATCATCAACAGTTTCAAAAATAGTCATACAAATAGGTCAATGGTAAGTCATTGAATCACAAGGAATAAACTCAGACTTGAGATTACTTCATTTTCTCAAAGAAAGTTTAATACATATTGAAATACACCTTATCTTGTACTGCGGCTAAGCAGCGTGTGAGTGCAATACGTCTATCATTAGAACATTCGTTTATACTTACCCTTCTTATGAACAGGAGTTATACATGTATTCTTCCAGGTTGTGTGACTGTAATGATATGTTGACAAGTGTAGTTAGAGGTCTTGATAAAATTATACTTCTAACTGATTGTTTGATGATGCTGTTCCTTATACCAGCAGGTCCAACCGCCCGAGTTGTATCAACCGAAAGTAAGATGTCCTGTACTTCTTCATGATGAAAGGTAAAACTATCCAATATGGTGTTACATTTGAGGCTTAAATTTAAAATTAATTTATCAGGATCATTTACAGTAGATTATTGCGAAAAAAAAATCATTATAACATTTGCAATGACTTCATTATCATCGAGTGTTTTACCTTGATACAGAATTGGGGGCGGTCGGGTAGCCTAGTGGTTAAAGCGTTCGCTCGTCACGCCGAAGACCCGGGTTCGATTCCCGACATCGGTACAATGTGTGAAGCCCATTTCTGGTGTCCCCCGCCGTGATATTGCTGGAATATTGCTAAAAGCGGCGTAAAACACTACTCACTCACTCACTCACTGATACAGAATTGTAGGATATATTGTATTGTGATGTTTTTCATTTTGATGATATTTAACAAGTTTTCACCACAATTTTGTCCCTGGGGTTTTGTTTATTTTGTCGTCAGTTTTGTTTTATATATAATTCTCTTTAGCCAGGCGAACAGAGGCAATCACTTCGTTTCTTAAATGGCGGAATTTTGCCCAAAGTTGTGTGTTTCTTT